GAACTGAAGAGAATTCTTAAAGTATTTTGCTTTGATGAAAAAAATTGATAGAAACCCTATATTTTAAAGCATGTTTAAAATGTACCTAAAATATTTTATATGTTTTATTGAATGACAACATTTCATTCAATGCAGGTTTAAAAGCAAATTTCATTCCGTCATAAAAGAAAGATGTAAACAGAATTTAACACTTAAATTACTTTTTGACAGGGTTGCTCCAATTGTACTTTTCTAGATTGTAGCCATTAGGGTACTTGCTAGTCTGTATGAGTGATTTCCTCATTTGTTTCAACTCTGGAGTGGATTAGGCCTGTAAGATCTGTTGCATTAAAAAAGAATGGAGACTGCACCTTTTTACAGGAATGGCACTAGCTCAGTATCAAAGCAGTGTATTGTAGGCAGAAGGTTCCAACTTCCAAATATCCCTATCATTTTCATGTAAGGTTCCAAAAAAATCTTGTTTAAATTTCGAAGAATCGCTGCTAGCTTTAGATAATATGCTTTGGATGTCAGCTGTTATTACTTTAGCTAGCATGCCCAGTAGCAAGAGTTTTTGGGAGGAGGAGTTCAGAATATCTAGAAAGCATCAGTTTGCCTATCACAGAGGTAGACCAAGAATCTAAATTTTTAAAAGATACTTTTTATTCCTAATTCAATTATCTGGGGAAAACATTAATAAATTGGCAAATGTAAATCTAGGTAATTGAAAGATGGCTTTGTGGCTGAAATTTTTACTGTTTTCAGATATTTAATGGTTTGCTATGTGCTGTCATTCTTTGTTTCTTAATAGGCAAATCAAAAAATAAATGCCCGTTGGACAACAGAAGAACAACTTCTTGCAGTTCAAGGTACATTAGTGTTACTAATATTTTCTTTCAGGTTGTAATTCTTGACATTCTGAAAACATTTTTTTTTAATGTGGCCATATGTACTTGTGTTTGTTGGGGCAGGAAAGAGTGGCAAGTGAGGAAATGTATATCATGATACAAATACCACAACACAGATATTTGCATTCAAATTTTGGAATGCTAATAAATAAGGATGGAATTTGCACTATGACATAATTTCAACTTTTTAAAGTCAGAAAAATATGGATAATGTAACCAGTTTAAAATAGAATTAAGGAGAGTTTTTTCTATGCTGCCTTATTAATACAAATTCTTTAAAACCTGTCAGGCATTACAGTTTATTCGAAACATGTAAATAAAATGAAAATAATAAGTTGAAAGATAAAATAGAGAGCATAGATTCAGAGCGACTCACCCATCACAATCATGAGGACCCCCTTTGCTTAAAAGGAGGTGGCCAACTGCAAAAAGATGGGATGACTTTCCCAGTGGGAAAGCTGAAAAAGTTGAGGTGTAGACATTGTTTCGAGAAGGAATCATGCTAGAGAGACTTCTGTTAAAAATTGTCACTGAAAAATGTAATCTTATTTTTCAAACACAATATATTTATCTGGAATATTGAAGATACTGTCTCAATTCTGCATGAACACAAAAAATCCATTGGTCAAATTATTTTTCTTGGCTGAAGTTCTATATTCATTTCATTAGTAATGCACCCATTTGAACCGATATAATAGTATTGGTTGGTGAACTTATTTCATGGACATCCTGAGTCTCTTATTTCAGTGTTATTTAATTCAATGGAGTAACATTTCAGTCTGGAATCATCTCCATATCATAACTTCCAGTGGATTAGTGGAGTACCAGAGCTTTAGAAATGGATTTATAATCATTTCTAAAATGGTAGGCATCAGTAACTTTTTAATCGAGGCTGTTTTGAGCAAGGTATGACATACCTCTGGAGTCTGAGCTGAGCAGTCCCTTTGATAAAGACCATCAGGTTCCTGAGATTTAGCCCTGATTGTTTAATAAAATACTCGTTTGGCCCTATTATCACTTTAATTGAATTGATTGAACTAGTTTAATTGCTTTTTCACACAATGAGGTTGCTTACTGATGAATTTGCTTATTAAGTAAATGAAACAGGCACTACACTTTGCTGTTATTTATTCATTCAGACTTCTTTTATATATCAGAGTCTATGTGAATCCATTTCTTTTGAAATTTGGCTTCAGGCTCATGAGTTGCTTAGGACATCCATTGAAACCCTGTCAGCTATAGCAGGCCATGCAAAAGTATGCAAAAACTCAGACATTCCACTGAAAGAAGAGAGATTTTTCTCCAAAGAAATAACTAATAAATGTTGTTCTGGTTATGATTTATCCAATTAAAAAGCTTTGAGTCAGATAAATGATACAATAAATGAACTCTGGTATTCTTACAACTAGTGATATTCACAATATGACAATTTGATCAGTAAAATACACCAACTACAAACAATATTACAGTGTTTTTCCCTGTGATCAATCTTTATAGAAGCACTACTGCTTTTAAAATTGGGTTTCAGTCGTACAGGACATATATGTCATGAATATTTCTATTTATTAACTTGAATCTTATTTATTCTTTTTTAAGGTGTCCGCAAATATGGTAAAGATTTTCAAGCTATTGCTGATGTAATCGGCAATAAGACTGTTGGACAAGTGAAGAACTTCTTTGTAAACTACAGGCGTCGTTTTAACTTAGAGGAGGTATTGCAGGAGTGGGAAGCAGAACAAGGAACCCTGGCTTCTAATGGTGATGCTTCTGCTTTAGGGGAGGACACAAAAAGTGCTAATGTGTCATCAGGAAAAAGTACAGATGAAGAAGATGAGGTGTGTTTCTGTGTATTAAATAAGCATGAGTTCAGAAATGGCATTTACATTTCCTATCACAAAATGTAATATTTAACTCGAAATGGAATGCTCAATCAACAGTGTTGGAAGCTTAATGCCTCCTGGTTTACAGAGCTCTCTCCTCATTGGGATTATGATAGCCAAACACTTCCAGTCTGGGCTGCCTCAGATTCTTCCCACAGTTCTAATATGAAAAACATAGCTGAATAATCCTGAATAGTATTAGATTCTTTTTTTATATTGAAAATTTTATTTCCATACATTGCTAAATAATTTAGAACTTGTTTTAAATAAGGGTTTCTTAACATGGCCACACTAATAGTGCTTTCCTGTGTCTGGAGGTAGCAGCAACCCAAACTGCATGATTATGAAGAATGGCTGCTTTTACATATATTATCACTTTATTTATAGGCCCAGATCCCACAGACTCCTCATTGTGTAGGGTCTTCTCCACCAGCCCAGGCGTCTACTCCAACACCAGCAACTCCTGTAACAACTTTGAACCAGCCTCCTCCATTGCTTCGTCCAACCCTTCCAGCTGCTCCAGCTCTCCATCGTCAGCCTCCACCACTACAGCAGCAAGCTCGATTTATTCAACCAAGGCCAACCCTAAACCAGCCCCCTCCACCACTCATCCGTCCAGCTAATTCCATGCCTCCTCGCCTAAATCCAAGACCAGCACTGTCCTCCACTGGCGGGCCACAGCCACCTTCACTTATTGGAATCCAGACAGAATCACAGTCCCCGCTGCATTAAACAAATAGGACAGAACTATGGTATTTAAAGTAGTATCAGTGTCTATTTTCCTCAGCTAATGAAGAGGTGAAGGGAGGGAAAGCAAGCTTTCCACAGTACTGAACTGTCACAAAGAAGAAGGTGGAAATGGATATATAATATGTGAATGATCTGAGTGAGAGAAACTTCAGTGCAGTAAATTATTGCAAAGAAAACCATGTCTACAAAGTCAGCATTTTACAAAGCTAACTTCTTTTTTTAAAAAGAAAAGAAGAAAATTCACTGCACTATGACTTCAACTGGTTTTTAGTCTATTTATTTTATAAACTCCTTTGTATTCAACTTCATGGAAGTAAACCATCTGGATAGTGTAAGTTTCAATTTAAGATTCAAACAGGGCTGTAAATGTTGATAAACTGGGGAAATTATTTTTACATTTTCCTATGTTAGGAGCGCAAGTATTACTGACAAGGCTGCCATTCAGATTTTGACAGATACCACCACTTCGTACATTTTTCTAGGCTTGTATTTTCTATATTTCTTCATACTTGTCTACTTATTGGAAAAAGGCTTGAAGAGTGCAAAACTAAGGTACTAAAGAGGTTCAACTATATATGAGATCTTCTGATACTGGAAACATGAATTGCTAGTGCAAACTCTGATATAGACAACAAGTGAGTTACCATTTGCATCCAACACTAGTAGCCAGGCGGCTAATAAAGTCACAGTTGTCTTCTTTTTAATAAACTTTGTAGTACTACTTCTTACCTGAAATTTTATTCTATTAAGTTCTGGAAATAATTTAGCAAGGAATGCTGAATTCCATACATATAGGGGCACGGTGAAACAGTCAAATATTAAGAATGTTTCCTGCTTCATTTCTTGGGATCACTCAGTCTCTTTTTGCTGTTTCTTGCCAGTGCATGTCCTCTCTTTTTTTCTCTTGGCATCAAAAAATATGCCAATTCATGCTTTACTTAATCAGTTGCAGTTTCTAATCAAAGTGACTTGCTTTTAATTTTGGGCAAGAATACCAAGCAATGAAAATCTATTTTCTGAAAGGTGTGCATCTCTTTAATACAATTGGCTTCCCCACTTCTTACTAAAACAACAGTGTTTTAACTTTCAAAGTTAAAATTCAGGATGATTTCATGTATAGCAAAGCTGTACTAGTCTCTTATGTACTGCATTTTACAGCTCAAATATCAAAACTTTTAGACTAACACTTTATCATGATTAAGGTGTTAAAGGGATTTTGCCCATTAACTTTCATGTTCTTAATTTTTAAAAATTCTTATTTAAATCAAATTTCATTTGTAGTATATTAAATAGAAAATCCTTCAATGGATGTCTCTTGTACATTATCTGTATCCAACCAGAGTGTTTGGTTTTTAATACTGGCTTTTTGGGGGGTGGGAGCATCACTATCCCTTGCCAGAATTCTTGGTACTTCGCTATATTTGACCTTTGGTTCCGATGTCAATATTAATCCACTGGAATTCTTCCAATCTGCCATAGTCCTGTTTGTGCATTTTGGCATAACTCTCTAAATACCAAACTATTAACAATGCATCTTCAATATTTAAATATGTAGATCAGGTTTCCCAGTGACTGTATTGTCCTTTTTTATTTTATTTTTTTGGCTAACTTTTGTCTTGTCTCTCGTTGCTAGAACTTCAGTATGCAGAAGATTGGGTGCTGCCATTTAAATGGCAATTTTAGACTATCAAAACTGTAACTGGGCACTTGTGTGTTTGGGTATGATGGTATGTAGTATAATACTGCTTTACATACGCTATGCCACACAGTGGCATACAGTGACAAAATGTTTAGCATTTGTAGTACTGAATATGTACATAGCAAAATGTTGTCCTTTTAAAAATTGTGTGCTTTCCAGATTATGTGCATACAGCTTGCACGTCCTGTTTGGGGTAGGGGGTTGTGTTAAGCAGTGTTTTTGCCTGGAGGAGTGAAATGCTTGCTGCTTAATCAAAGAATTAAAGTTTCCAAGGAATCTGTGTCTATTTTTATGTACCTTGTAACGGTTTAAGATACTTAGGCCCTATACTGTGATTCTCTTCTAAATTCATTTATATTTTTTTAAAGATTAGAAATAAAACTATACAATTTTTTTTTCATTTCAAAGAAGTTTTCTTTTTGGGCAATATTATAAAAATCTAGTTTGACTTTGTACCATTTCTACAAACCACAATCTTCATCTTGGTTTATTTTTGTCACTTTATAAAATGTAAAAAAAATGCACTCCCTTTTAAGTTGGGCAAAAATTTATTTCTTACAGTGGTTATGACAAATGTAACATTGCATCTTCTTTTTATGTACAGTTTTCAGTTACAATAAAGAAATATAAAAACTTTTAAATGAATGGCCATCTATAAGGCCTATGTGTATATTTGGAGAAAATATTTCTAGGCTAAAGTATTAAGTGGTTGGAAAAGAGGTTTGTGACTATACATGTAGACTGGATACTTGATAATATTCTTTAATTAATTATAAATTTAAAATGGTGGAACACTAAATTCTTGATACTGCAATTATAATATATTCTTAAACAGAAAAAGTAAAGCCTGTAAGACAGATATGTGGGACACACGTGTGTAGCTTTTAGAATCTAGGATTGCATAATTTTGAAATGGTTAGATTTATTCTTAGCTCCATTAATCTGTCACATCTGAATAATATATATATAACAACATAATAGTAATAAAAATCAAAGATTGGAGAAAAGTATAAACTATTCTGAAGTTAAGCTAATTGATGAAAGTTAAGAACACATAACTTTCTTGAACTTTCTGAAGAGATTTTCTGTTAAAAGTGGAGTATAAGCTATCCATCAAATAGCTTTATAATACTTCCTGGCAAAATCATTCAAAGACTTGTGGCAATCGGGTTTGCAAATTCATTTGCGACATACATTTCTTTTTCATGTTTTGCTTTCTATATTCTATCTTCCCTCAAAGATGCCAAAGCTAATAATATATATAACCTCTGATCATTATGCAAATAGATTTAAAAGGGAAGGGAAAATTGAAATAATAAAAAAAGTTATCAAGAATTTTTTCCATATTTTTTCTTCTTTCCCAAGCCCAGTTGTGAACATGGTAGATAGCTGGTTGTTTATTCATGCATGTTTGTATTGTTTCTATCCTGCCTTTTTATTATTTTCTACAAATAAGGCAGCAAACCTCTAACACACCACCTCCTAGTTTCCCCCCAACTAACCTGTTGGGTTGAGAGAGAGTGACTGGCCCAAGGTAAGCCAGCTGACTTTTATGGCTAAGGCAGGACTGGAACTCACAGTCTCTTGCTTTCTAGTCTGGTGCCTTAATCACCAGACGATATATTACCTTTATTAATAACAATTTGGCACTTTAGTGCTGACATTTATATTTATTTATTAAATTTATATGCCATCCCACTTGATAACCAAAGTGGCTTACAGTATTCCTATTTAGGAATATGAAATTCAATCAAAATGACAAAAATAGTATTGAATTCTGCAGGAGACGCCACCCTTTTTGTACATAGGCTCATATTCTATTGCTTTCAAAATAAAACTTCACCCTAAACTTCTACTTCCACTACTTATGTGTTAGTGGCAAACAATTTTTTTTGGCTAATTTCACATTAAGATTCTCCATAAAGTTTATTTGACATTATTTGATCATTAATCCAGTCTTTCACGTATCCTCTATCTTATAAAAACAAACACCATTGGGAAAGGTGATGCAGACAAATATAACATCAAAAAATTGAAGGGAAAAACCCAACATGCTTTTAGAATAAGTTATGATTCAAGAGGTAAAACCAAGGCTGAAAGTTTTAAGCATGATGCCTGACTATTGAGCAAAGACAAAGGTAAGAAAGGGCAGGGAAAGTTGCCTGAATCATGAATACCAACAACTAAAGGAAAACAAGTAAAAGAAAAATGAGTTGTTTTTAAGAATATAGAACCCACAGGTAAAGTAGGACTACTTAAGCCCTACTAGAAAAACTTCTAATAGAGGCAAATGAAGATAAAAGATGGAAGTACTATACAGTAGTCCTCGACTTATGACCACAATTGAGCCCAACATTTCTGTTGTTAAGAGAGACATTTGTTAAGTGAGCTTTGCCCCATTTTATGACCTTTCTTGCTTCAGTTAAGTGAATAGTAATCCGGTTAAGTGAATATGGCTTCCCCATTGACTTTGCTTGTCAGAAGGTTGCAAAAGGTGATCACGTGACCTTGGGATCCAGCAATGGTCATAAATATAAACCAGTTGCCAAGCATCTGAATTTTGATCACATGATCATGAAGGTGCTGCAAAGCTGTGAAAAAACGGTCATAAGTGACTTCACTGGTGGTGTAACTTTGGTCACTAAATGAACTGTTGTAAGTCGAAAGACCACCTGTACTAAAATTTCTGCACAGGGGACTAGATTTGCAGAAACATTTGTAGAGATAATGCAAATATAGCATCTGATTCCGCTTAAAAATGAGTTATGAGAATCAGTAGGGATCTCAGGCCCGAAGGCTGCTGTCTACACAGGCTGCTGTCTACACANTAATCCCATGGTCATTGAACCAGGTTTTGGTGCTTTTGGCAAAAATTGCTCTTACTGCATTCTAACCACTGTGCCTCCATAGTAATCTTGAAATAAGATTCTTGATAATTTGAGGTAGCTGACTTTGGTTAGTAACATTTCAATTTGTTTTAAGGTCAATAACCTTTATTTTAATACATCTCTACTAGATGTTTAACACATTTCTGGTTTGGGAATCAGAGTTTTTTAGTTAGAGAAGATTCTTACTTATGTGCAAATTGTCTTTAAGAAGATAAAAAGAAAGCTGAAGGAAAGATCTATCTTTCCTTAGATGTGGGGCTGTTTGATTTCAGTATTATATGTTCAAGTTGAGGTTTTGTAATTGTAAATAATATGAATAGTGTTAGAATATCTTTCCCATATATCTATAATGGTATCAGATGGTATGGCTGCTTAGATAGTACTTGCATAGGAAGTACAATACAGGTGCCTCTCAATTGTCATACATTTCATTTCACAGGTTGTAAAGGGGCTATATTTGCCTAAACTGTTATCTAAAACAGTTGAATTCTGAGTACAGATAGACTTGTGTGTAGCATGCATTGCTATACTAATATAATTTGATGTAACTAATGGTCGGATCTGACATTACTATAGTGGACTCATTAACCAAAGTAATGATAAACACGATGCTGGTCATACCTGATACCTGTTCCATCTGAATTCAATAGACTGTTTCTACACTAAGGTCAGAACTTAGTATAAGGTTAAACTTTCTAGGGAAATCTCTTTTCCCTTTCAATCCTTAGTATCCCATCAGCATGTATTTTATCACTGACTAATGGGAAAATAATATGGGAAATAAGTCTGATATGATGATATCTTTACAATTGGAGTAGTAGCATGGATAGTTATCAGACATTATTAGCAGCTATTATTTAGTGACCATCATTCATGATGAAAAATTATAATGATTCCCATAAGGTTAGTTCATAAATACCATGGGGAATTCTCAGGGTTATATACTGTACTTGTCAATTTGTCTCTCTCTGTATGTATGTAAAATCTAGGAAGCACTAAAACATAAGGATGCTCTTCAGAGTCAGCCATAGGAAGGCAAGCAGAGCAAATGGTGTCCCTGCATTATGTCATTAGCATTCAGATTATGTTATTTAGATAGTCGCATTAGACACCATTATGTAATTGTTCCATTTATGGGATTTGTCCCCATTTTTATGTTATGTTCTTGCTGCTAACAGTGCTGTATTAGATTAGCATTCTGTTTGGTTCAGCATCTTTTTCCTATATTAGATCACAAAAGGGTTTAAGAGAAGTATCATTTTTCTGATTTCAGATCCAATAACTAGTAGTTTACAAATATTACTGATTCTAGACTCGATATTAGTTCATAGCTACCATGGCCTGAAAGGATTAATAACACCCATTCAATCTGGTTGTCATCTTTCCATGGCAATGGTTTCTATAGTTTATCTACATGGGAAGAAGCTGCTTATTTTATATGAACAAAACTTGCAACCTTTCAGACCTGTGGTTGATCCTAGCAGCTAGTACTATAGTACAGAGAAAAACTTTTCTATTAAGCTGATCCTTCATTGTTTATTTTGTAAAACCTTTATCAATGCTTTTCTGCTTATTTTTTTTTAAACGCCATCTTTCCCCAGTATCAGTAGCCTCAAAATGTAGAACTCCATAATCTCACAAATAGATTATTTGAAACCAATAATGCTAGATTATTTAAAATTCATATCAATGCATGTTACTCAGGGTAGCTGAATTAAAAAAGGTTGTTTGACCTTGATGTTAATCAGATCAAGCAACCCAAATTATGCTGATGACAGATAGTTCTTTAGTTCTGAATCATATTGAGCAACAATCAATATTTTTTACTTTATCTTCATCACTAATTATTGATGGGCTAGAACTCGCTTCTAGTTTCTTCCTCATTTGGTATTTACCCCTGTTTTCTGTCTAAGCTAAAAAGTCAGATCCTGCAACTATTGATTATATGTCAGTGGTCCAGATATAAGTAAACCCACATATTATAAAAATGTGCTTTATAATCCAAGGGAAAGTCTTTTGAGGCACCTAACTCTTGTCTCTCATGCAGTCCTTTTCAGTAGCCTCAATTATTAATTCACACTCCAATGAAGCAATTTCCTGCAGACCTGCTGCTAAACGAGCTTTCTGAAGTGGTTTGACTTTCCAAGGTTACCTTTCAGACCGGTCAGGGTGATTTTGCTTCCTCAGCTTTTAGTCTATTGCTATCAGTATTCCCACTTGCCTTGGCTATTATTTTAACATGATTGCAAATAACTGAAATAGTAGCCTGCATGCATTTAATCTGGCTATCAGAAAGCAATTCACTTAACCTGTCACCAACTCCCCGTTGAAACAGAAGCAGTTCACTTAACTGTGTTCCATATATTCTTACTTCCTACATTTGCAGTCCTCGATTTACAGCCAGTTGTTTTAATGGCATTTCAATTTTACAACAGCCCTAGAAAAAGTGACTTAGAAAAACATGAAAAACATTCTTAGATGCATTAGCCATCACAATAAGTAATCACAGTTTTGGTACTTGGCATTCGGCGTACATGATTGCAGCATATTGCGGTGACATAATTGTGTTTTCTAATATTCCTAGCTGGTTTCCAAAAAAGCAAAGTCAATTGGATTCATTTAAAGACTGTATGATTCACTTAACAGCCACATGATTCTTAGTACTGTGGTGATATATAATTGGCTGCAGTCATCTGATGACTTGTTTAATAACACTATCACCTAGTGACTGAAATTCCAGTTCTAATTGTGGT